AAAGGTTCATAGCTCCTCCTTGGCTGAATTGATACGTGCCCTAATGAGATGGCCTGTGTCATTTAAAACTTTAGAATTTAAAACGACTCTCAGTTTAGCATTATGTGCAAACTAGGGATTTTAGATTTAAATAGCTATCAGTTAAGGCAGCTTCACACCCCCTGGTTTGAAGATGACTTGTTTAGAAACAGGCCTGAATACGCTGCAAGTCAGTGTCTGATTTCTTGGTAGGAAACGTGTGAATAATTTTGGACAACATGGAAGAATAAAAGAAATGCAGATTAGAGGAGAGATTTTCCTCAAGACCACAAAAGGGGAGGGAAGTGTTAAATACCCCCTCTGTATTGGTGTGATCCCTAAAATAATCACCCCCCCCCCAAATGCTATCTGCCTATTTAAAAACCTGCATGTTAAACTCAAAGGCACTTCTTTATTTAGGGGCCAGTGGTGTAAATAGACTGTCCCTGTTTGACAGGAGTAGAACATAAAGGTAATCTTAAAACAAAACAACACATTATAATTGTCCAATGTTCTGAAGCACAAGTATTGGCTATAAAGTATGCTCCAGGTTTTAGATAATTTATGGAGAAGCCGCTTGCTCTGTACAAACATCACTCATTCTCAGTCCAGATTTCACGTTGCTTGTGACACAGACAAACTCAAAGGTAAATATTTTACTAGCTGGTATAATTGAATTGGCCTTGAAACTGCACAGGGCTAGAAAACCTAACATTTTCAGAACTGGAAGAAAAAACACCCCTTTCTTGGATTATACGATGTGTACCTGCTGTACAGTAACGAACAGGCTGTCAACTAAAGATTGCATTTGTGAGAATATGTATTTTATCAGGAAACCTGTTAGAAGAGAAAGTGGCCACTTTTATTTCTACTTCTAAAGCATTCTTGTTCTAAATTACCTGGCAAACCCACTCAAAGCTTCAGAATTTTAAAGCAGCTTGCCTTTCCATAGTATTTTCTTGTTTTTGTTTAAAAAATCTGATAAAGTAGATTACTTTGAGGACAGAGTTCACACTTTCCCCATGGGTTCTGTGGGTTTCCTTTCCTCAAGTGCTTTCTTGCTATGAATGAGACATGATAGAGCAAACGCCCAGATGATCTTCCGTGGTGCATTCTAAGTATATTGCCGTGCACAAGTCATTTGGCTGTGTTTTCTAAATAATATCTAGCCTTTGCCTCAGGGGGAAAGATGCGGATATTTTACATGAGTGAGAAAGAGAAGTTCACCATCACATAATAGGAACAAGCTACATAAAGAAACTTCTGCCATGAGCTCCCGTGGCTAAAGAATTAAACTGAAAAATATTGACTTATAGGTCACTACTTATTCTTTAGTATACTTAAACATACAATAAATTAATGTGTTTTCATGTTATCTAAAGCACATTTCCCCCCAGGGTATGGCCTTAGGCTACACTTAGTGAGTAACCCCCATTGAACTAAATAGAACCAAGTAAACATGCATGGGATTGTACTGCTATTGTTATTTCTGCCATATGAGGGGATCTCTGCTGTTGCGGCACACCTTAGGTCACACTGCCACCTATTAACAGGTCCTGACCCCACCAGTTCCAGAGCAGCAGCATATGTTGCCAGTAATGCCAGTGCACTGCTGGCCTTAAACAAAACATCAGTAGCCAAGGAAGGGCACTCCCTTAATGAGACTTAACTTTTCCCATAGCGGTTGGAAATTGCTGCAAATATCACTCTGTCTGGAGTGTCGCTGCAGGAGGGGCCGTGCTGAGATCAGCCCGCCCTCAGCCGTGCCTGTAGTCTTCATTTTGTATTTAATGGAGTATGAATCAGTGTGGCGGGTGTTTAATCAGCCACCTTTCGCCCCCTCTAACTGCTTGATGTGGAATAAGAAAGAAAAGGGGGGGGGAATCCACCTCCACGGGGTACAAATGTTTTCTCTGAACTGTCTTGTGGCTCTTGATGGTTTTCCTTCTACATGCACCAGTGTTTTAGATAAGTTAAAGCAGAGAAAGGGGAGATAGACACTATATAGTTAAATGAGAGGGGGGGGGAGGGAAGTGTAGAGATTTAAAAATGCTAAATTAGTTTAAAAGCGGATTACATTGCCCTTTTCAAGATACAACCTAAATCTTTAGATTTCTACTTGGCTTGAATAATGCTGTTTGACATTAATGCAGTCTTGCAGTGGCTTCTGTTCAGCAAGAAGAACAAGAGGAAACTCTGCCATTGCGAATATCTGTTAAGGAATTGATTGGTTGCTGAAGTGGAAACGGCTTGATATACATCTTGTGAATTTCTATGGGCGATATTCGGAGGGCCATCTGGAAAACAAAGTTACATTTTTTAGAAGAAAAACATACTCGCAGCAGGGGAGGGAGGAGATGGGAGCATAATAAAAATAAATAAATGATGTTAGAGGGGTATGTGAGACCCTCAACTCAGGGTGGTTTTGGTGATAGAGTCAACTATTTTCCCCCCACTGTTGGATTGTGCAAATAAATAAATTTAAAAAGTTGTTTGGCTGGAACTTGTTTCCAAAAGCTGGTATTTGTTTCTAGGCTAGTTTCAGAAAATAACATTTTTTTGTGAGGAGAAATATGGCTTCAATAGCAAGCTGTGCAAGAGAAGCTTTTTATTTCTCTGTGTCTAGTGGAAGTTACACAGACACAAAATGATTCTAAAATTTAAAATAAAAATAAAAATTGCTTCCTCACGCCAGCCAGAATTGTCTGTGTACAGTCATACCATGGGATACAGCCGCTTCACGTTGTGTTTTTTCAGGTTACGGACCACTGAAACCCAGAAATACCAGAACAGGTTACTTCCGGGTTTCAGCAGTTGTGCATGCGGAGAAGCGCTAAATTGCGCTATGCGCAGAAGCGGCGAATCGCAACCCACGTGTGCGCAGAAGCAGGTTGTGAGCATGCATCCCACACGGATCACGTTCACAACCCAAGCGTCCACTGTACTTAACTATGGCAACAGGAGGTGGTCTCTTTGTGTTCCACTGATGTGTACTACACGAGGGGTAGGCTGTGGCATTGAGAGCATGATTGGTTTGTGTAAACAGGCGATGTCTAAACTACACTGAGGGTTTCTGCAAAATGCCAGCAGAAGCTACCTAAGGGCCAGCTTGACCATGAACCTGTTATGAAGGTGGGGCGAGTGGGTCTTCATCGCATTTGCTTGATAAAGGCGCTCCACTTTTGCAACTCCCACTGCTCTGTAATATGGCTGGCACCTACCCTTTTCTGCAGTGGCTCCCCGCTTGTGGAATGCTCTCCCCAGGGAGGCTCACCTGGCCCCTTCATTACATATATTACATATATTGAGGTGATAGGCAAAAACATTCCAATCTATTGCCTTTTAAACTGTGTGTATGTTTTTTTATTGTTTTGGTTTGTTGCTATGTTAAGTATTTTGTGTTTTTATATTGTGAACCGCCCTGTGATCCTCAGATGAAGGGCAGTAAGAAATTTAACAAATAATTTTTTAAAAAATAAATAAAAATAGCCACCACCTAAAGACTTGGTTATTTGTCCTGGCTTTCAGTAATATCTGGCGCCGATATGAATGATTTTTGGTTGACTGGTTGTGACTTACCTGCCTGGCTTTTAATAACTGTGTTGTGAATTTGAAACTCTTTTAGTAAGTAACCCTTCTGAAGTCACTGTGCAATGAAGTTGGATAAGAAATGTTTTGAATGGGTTTATATTTTTTAAAAAGCTTGATTGCACAGCATGTATTTAAGCCACTTTTGCAGCACCATAGCTGAATCAACTTTGAGTAATGTTGCAGTGATGCAAATACGGTTTGATGCTTGAGCAGATGATGAAACATTCAGATCCGTGATCTTATTTTTAACTCTGCACAGATACACTGTGCCAACAGCATGCCAGTCTGGACAATTCCAGTTTGCCCATCATATGAGTGCCATTTAGAACAATATGGGATATCGTGATAAGAATTTCATGACCAGCTTGACTTTTAAGGAACCAACTTATTGGAAGCATTTCTCTCTTTTTTACTCTTAAAACATTCAGCATGCTTTCATGCGCAGCCAAAAAAGGAATTGCTTGAACTCAGCTGGAGGACAAGGAGAGGACAGAGGGTGAAGAAAGAGCTGTGAGTGGAGGGTGGGCTTTTCCCATCCTTCCAACCCCATGGAAACCTCAACAAACCTGCTGTGGTCCATGCCCCTCAGGGGTTCCATGGATGGGGTGGGAGGACTGGGCACAAACAATGATTTCCCCAATGCAATAAAATAAATGCATGCAAAATTGTGTGCGTGCATGGATGCATTTTCCTGGGAAGGGGTTCCATCAGCTTTCATCAGATTCTCAAAGGGGGTCTGTGACCGCCTCCAAAAAATGTTTTAAACCACCGCTATAGAGTCCTCTCCTATATATGTATGCCTATATTTTTATATTTTAATTAGCTGATTATAAATTATTAAAGCTATTCAAATAAAGTTTTGTAATTTAACACTGGCATCGAACCAGTATTCTTCTGGGTCGGAGAAGTATTTTTTGATCCACGATGTGATTACATATTAATGACATTGTTGCCCTCGGAGGCCTCTGTTTCAGTGGACAAAGTGGATTGGATCCAGAGAAAATGGGGCAGTAGGGAGCCAAAGAAAGCTGACTTCCCTGCCCCTTCCTCCTCCCCACCCTGCCATCCCTAGCTCCCCACAAAGCCTCCCCTAAGGGTTGGGAGTCCTGCTGAATTGGAAGGTAGCCTGGGCCAGGAAGGGAGGCAGTCTTCAAAATCAGACTGAGGCAGTATGTTTAAGCATCCAGTATTAAACTTTATGCAGCCAAAAGGATCCAGTGAGCTCCCAAGTGCACAAACCCTGACCACTCGTTAAATTGCTCTATATTTCATTGGTCTTTGCATTGTAGCAATCCTGGGAAGAAGCTGGTCATTTCCATTTTAAAAAACTGGAGTTCGTTCTCCCACGTGGTAACTTTCTTTCTTTCGTCTTTTTGTTGTCGCCGCTGCAGGTAATTAAAATCAGGGAGCACTGCAATTGCCCAGCTTTGCCTGGACAGGATCCACGCTTTGCTTTCAAACTCGCCAAGCAACAAATTCTGCAATCGTCTAAAAACGAGGGAGGCCCAAACCTCACTCACGATGCTCTTTACAGAACAAAGGAGAAGACACACGTGGACATAGTAGCTGGGAAATAACTCTGCAGGTGAAGGCAGAAATGCTTCATGGATTAACGTTATCCAAATTCTCAAGGCAAGTACTGTGCTTTTCAGGAAACTGCTTCGGAAATTCGAAATGGCCAGATGGACAGACAGTGCTATTAATTTATGGCCACAGTGTTTGACAGTGATGCGCCTCTGGAACCCGACTCTTGAATGGATTTGCAGAAGAATGCTTCACATGCACAAGGAACACGAGGAGCAGTTTCCGTGATGGAAGACAACAGGAAACCTTTGTCTGCATGGGGTGAGGGGGTGGGGGTGGGGGGCTCAGCAGTGCCCCAGATGGCACTCACATACGTACTGCATGTATAACCAGGTTGTGATAGCAAATCCTCTTGTACACCGAAATGTTAGTCTGACTGTCAGAACTATGTTTTCCCCCAATCATGTTATAATCTCCTCCACGCCCTGTTTCCCAATGGATGTCTCAAAGGGATGTCCAGCTGAGTGTGGTGAGGAGGGCAGGGAGGGCTGCATATTGGAAAAATGGAAGCATTGCTTCTGTCTAAATGTCTATCCAAGGGCAGTTCTTGCAATGCAGTTTTAAGCTGTATCCCCAGGCTCAAGTTGGATACAAATCTGTCCCTTTGTCGCAAATAATGAAATAGTATCCCTTACCTGTGTAAATCCTCTTGAATTTGTTGCAAGCTCGGTTAGTTTTGTCCAATGATATTTATAAAATATTGGTAAGAATTCGCTGCCTTTTACAAGGATCAAGATGCAATAAACTGACCAGTGGTCTGGTTCGAATATCACCTAATTGGTTGACCTGCTGTTGGGGACTCCCTCTCTTTGTACTCTCTAAAAGACAGATTGAGTCAACATTTCACTTTGAAGCAATCCCAAAGGACTGTGGAGTTAACCTTACAATGTAAACATGTTTGTAAGGCACAAGACAAAATTTTATTGGATAAAATCTGACATACAGCACTAAGGAGTATGGTAGATTATTTGTCGGTGTCATTTAAGTAAACAGAATACCACTTGGAAAGGTTAAATTAGTTACAGTAGACTTTGTCCTGGTCAGATCAGTGCTTGAAAACCCAGTGATTGATGCTCAAGGAAACTCCCTGGAGTTGGATGATGTGCTGTGAGGTGCCTGCTAGTGATTTATAAAGCAGCAAGGCATGTCACTAAAGCCACATAGTCCAGACTCGTTGATTCCCCCCCCCCCCCGGTTCCTCGGGTAAATGTTTTGAGGCATAACTTCACTGATGTCTCTTACTGGACCATGATACTCCTTTGCTCCTTGTTGTCCTTGCAGATTTCCTCCTTTTCACCACATGTTCCTGTTCTCCTGCATATGCCTGCATTAAAGTCTCAGCCATGGTCGCTAGACTGCATTTTGCTGCTATCCAACACTGAAACAGTTCTCTGAGTTCTATCCTTTCTATGGACTGCAGACTATTGGGAAATATACACACCCCCCTCCCAGTTTGCTTACTCTGGAAAACTGAAATTCCTCCACTTCATACTGTAGAACAAATATTAAATAAGAATTACTTGACACAGTACATCAGAGAAAGGCCCATGACTTTCCACCTTTGGTCAACAGCATGGTCCCATAACATTTAAAAGTTATTTGTATGTTCTTATATGAAAGCCTGGGGAAATGTGGGGTGATGGAAGCTTTATCCCCCCCCCCCACCCGATGAAAATGTAAAAACATGAAACAATGCCACATACACAATATTTCCTCAAATAGGGGTTTCTGGTTCCGTGTCCCCACTCATTGTAGAGCACCGCAGTGCCACAACTCTTATAATCACAAAATCTGCCAGTCCCATAGATGCCAGCTCAGATCCTAGTAGGATAGTGAAGAGGGCCAGATGAGGCTTCAGATCGATTTCAACTTTTAAGGGAGAAAGACTATCTTCCATTACTTAAGAAAGCTAGAGGTTGCCCCCTGTCACCCCTTCTGCTACCCAACAAGCCTTCAGGAGGCCAGTCTCTCTGCCATCTACCATTAGATTGCAGCCATAGTCATGCCCACTAATTTCAGTGGGTCTTCTCTGAGTCTTACTTGGTTGGGTTTCTCCCATACTCCTGGAACAAACTGAAGGAGATGAAAAGCTGCTTTTGATTATTGCAAAGACTTCCAGACTTCTGAAGTCCATGAAACTCAGAATTGGCAGCTTTGGCTCTTTCATACACTGCTTCAGAGAAACAAAAACTGAAACGATCAGCATGAACCTTCAGTCGCAGAACCAATAAGACTGCAGTGTTTTATTAGACATAGAGATGGAATCCGAAGCAGTCACCTTGTTAAGGGCAGAGCTGCCTTGTCTTGTGAGACAGCACAACACCATATTTTTGCTTTTAAATTGCCTCTTTGTTTTGATTTCACTAAAAGAAAGCATCCAGTATCGACTGGACAAGTGTGAACTAACAAGCTCGTAAGTTGTAGTTTGTTTACTGACTTCAGCTGAAGAACATCAGCTCTCTGAGCAGTGCCAACACCTACCTAATTTATCTTTATTTGTAGGAGGTATTTTCAAGGTTGGCTCTGCCTCTGATTGCCAGACCTGATTCTTTGTGTCTTGATTTAGTGCATACTGCTCCTAAGCCATGTATAGATCAGTATGCAAGATGCCGGCAACAGGTAAAAGCTCACCTTGACCATCTCCTGCCATTTCATTCTTTTTATTTGTAGTGACAGGAGATGTTTGTTTTTTTAAACAGAAAAGCTCGGAAATTTGGCCACTGTCACATAAAGTAAACAGAAAAACACACACTATGATAGTTCTCCTCGCCCCCAGATTTGTACAACTTCTTATTCATGTTGCAGGTGAATTGCTGTAGAGCACAAAAGGCAACTAACTGCAAAGGCCTTTGTGAATGTGCAGAGTTTTTACTTGGTTTTTAAAGTCACTCAGCATCCCAGAAAGCTGGTGGCACTACCAAGAATGCCTTGTTCCTAGTATGGCACCTGAGAAAGTCAGTTCTTGAAATTTATTGTGTTGTCAGCTACATACTGAGGAGGCTATTGTTTAAAGTGTCTAGGCCCCAAGCTGCTTACAGTTGTAAAGCTGACACCCAGCACCTCCTAAAAGGGAGCATGGAAAACGCCTTACATAATGCAGACTGGACAGTGCCAAAATAATGTGCTCAGTCTTTTCCTACAATCGGATAGCTGCATTTTGGTCAAATTGAGGTTTCTGGGCATTTTTGTGAGCTTCCCCAGGTAAACTCTGCTACAGGAGTCTAGTGAGGAAGTTAGTTAAGCATGAATAACTGGCTAGGTCTGGCCTTTCCAGGGAAAGACATGGCTGGTGGTGAGAGCTGGGTGAGGGTACCATCTTAAATGGATGAGGGAGGAAGAAGTGCCTATACATAACATTAAACTTCTAAATAATGTGTGTTCTTATGTGTGCTCTTCCCATTTTCAGAGGCTTTTAGTATCTCTAGGCAAGCTTCCAGGTATATATTTTATTTAAAAAAGGACTTTACATTTCTGCAATATGTGTTACTCTGTGTCCTCAGAGTAATTCCAGTCTTTACTGCTCTCTGTGGTAGGATTCAATTGTAACTCGTGTGAATGAGCCATTACTGTTTCAGCTTCGAACAGGGGTTGGCAAGGTTTACCTCACCTGGGCTGGTTCACTCCAGTGAATGGGCTGGATCGCATGCATGCATGAGCATGCACAGCCGCAATTTCCGGCGTCTGAGCATGCACAGATGCGATTTCTGGCACCGCACACTGCGTTGCACCGAGCCAGTTTAGCACAGCGCGCGGGGACTCATTGAGTGGGCAGCTCAGTTCGGGGGCTGGTTAAACAACCCCCGTGGGCCGCTTGTGGCCCATGGGCCTTAGGTTGCCGACCCCTGGCTTAGAAGAAGGACACCCCCCTACAAAGAAAGAAGCAACAGGCAAGTTGACCATAGCCTTATTACAAGGTTTAGCATTTCATAGTTGCCTGCATACCCTGTGCAGCTTCTGTTTGAGTATTTGTTTGCTGGGAGCAGACTAGAATAATAGAATTGTAGGATCATCTAGTGCAGCCCCTGCAATGCAGGACCCTCTTGCCCATTTAAGAGTCCCCCCCCACTCATGGTTCAAAGAACATGTGGAGGCAGCAGAAGTGGCTATGCTGCTTTCCCACCAGAAATTGCACTTTTTGACCTAAAGGTATTTGTGTCAGGCAGTGCTTGTTGAGAAAATGAAACAAATGACAAAGTTAACCCCTTTCCTGGTCCCCAATCTCAATCTTTGACCTCCCCCTACACTTTTCCTAGGGCATGTCCCCACCGGGCTTTGGTGACGATGTGTTCGAGGCCATTTGACCTGTAAAATCAACTTTCCTTAAGTACCTTTGCTACTTCTGTCTTCTTGCCAAAATAAATTAAGAGCCTTGTTATGTTCCGAAAGCATGAAAAAGCCTTTAGCAAAACTAGAAACTATCATTTTGACCCTTAATGGAATCACTTCTAAAATCCCCGCTAAGGAACAATCACCTTGATTTATTGCAATGCATCTCCAAGGCACAATAAAAAGCAAGAGTTGCCATGTTGGCCCATAAAAAAACAAAACCAAACCCTCCGTTACTTTGCTTAGGTTCCACTAAAGTGCCACAAAAATAGTAGCAAAGCTCTTTAGTTCTCTGGAATTCATCAGGTGAAATATTAGGAAGTGGAATGAATGAGGAAAAATAAAAAGCAAGCAAATAATAAAATGGCTGGATGTTTAAGCTCACTTCCAACATGAAGACTGCAAATTCAATAGGAGTATCCAAGGTGTTATAGGGATCAAGTGCACACTAGGGAAGTGGCCTGTGTGTGTGTGTGTGTGTGTGTGTGTGTCCCCCAAGAATCCTGTCTCTTACAATATTTGGTCTACACAGGATGCCCACAGTTGCTTGCAAGATTAACCAACATAACCAGAAAGTTTTGAGAAGAGAAGACTCCCTGGTAAAGACCCTGATGTTGGGAAAGACTGAGGGGACAAGGAGAAGGGGACGACAGAGGACGAGATGTTTGGACAGTGTTCTTGAAGCTGCTAACATGAATTTGACCAAACTGCGGGAAGCAGTGGAAGACAGGAGTGCCTGGTGCACTCTGGTCCATGGGGTCACGAAGAGTTGGACGTGACTAAATGACTAAACAACAACAACAATAACAAACCAGAAAATTTCAAGTAGCCATTAAATTTGAAGCCTTGCTGAATTACTTTCTCTTTGTTCCTGTATAAGATCTTAGTAGTACTTGGTTATGTGACCTTTTTGTATTCAGTTGCAGGTGGAAGGGATAAAGGATTTTCT